TTCTCAGAATGAACAGAAGGAGTTTTGGTCGGGTGCGTGCTAAGACATTTCTGTCAAGGCAAGGTTATTATACCAAAACTAATATCCAAAAGATTGAGGTTTCATGTGTATTACCTCAAGATGATGTGTAGTCCAAGCCATGATCTCAATACAGGCTGAGCGTCACCTTACCGCATGAACTCATAAACAGGGTTCAAGCTACAAACCTTCAACAAAATTTCAAGTTGGATTTCGTTGATTTTCACCTTTGTTTAGTTCTTCCTTGCAATGTACAACTGCACTGCAAAGTCATTGCCAAGCCAAAGGAATAACATGACCCCTACAACCATCAAAACGGTCATGATCAAACTGACATGTTTTCAATGAGTAGGGGAAATAAGCAACAGCAGATTACAAGAGAATATGAATGCACTGAAAAAATAGAAATAAGGCTAAGAGATAGTCGGTAAGCATTACCGGAAGCGTTACGAAAACAATGATCTCAGGCATCACTGTGACTGTTCGTTCTATCTACAATACTAAAGTCCACGAGGAATGTGCTTGGAAGCTTGCTTCAGGTGTCAAGGCAAGCCCCCCAGCCACCGGCAGCAAACCGAAAATTCCCCGTGCAGAGACAATAAAGGAAATGCATAAAGGTCCGTGAGAAAAATGCACCATTAATCACTTGAGATATGCACAAATAAGAAGTCAACCGGAGGTGGTTTGTTGGAATGAAAGGAAAGACTGCATAATTAACATGGTAAAAAAAAGGGCACATATTATAAAACATGTTACAGCAGTAAAAGACGTAAAAAACCAGAATTAAAAGTGGTCAATATTTGTTTTGAGTCAAAGGAAGAATTACCACATCAGCACAAATCCAAGCGGTAAAAGTCACAAACTTCACCGTGAAATATAGAGTAAAAACCAGATATTTTTACAAGTAGCTACAGACAAAGTAACAGGTCACCATCACCTTGGTCCCCCCCACGAAATCCTTTTTGCAAAAACTCCCCAACGGCATTGCAAATCCTCCGCGCGCAACTTCACGTAGTGGAAGGGATTTTCTCAGAATTCTTATCCCTTTTGGTGTACGAATTATTCCTTCAAATCCCCTATAAATAGAGCTCAGATTAATCACACAAGGAGGGGAAGAAATGGAGTTAAAACTCTGCCAAATTTCAAGTAAAAAAAACCTAACAAAATCATGCTGAAAGAATCCATATATTTTTACCTGAAAGCTCCAATCTTTTATCAAGATTGTTGAGTTGTGGCATCGAAACTCAACAATTTCGAGCTAAACCTTCAACCTAGAAAAGGCAAGATCCGGGTTAACCCACATACTCAGACGAAATCAATAGCTGAACAAACAAGGAAAGGTGAATCGGACGAGAAAAAACAGTTTACCTCCATCGTTAAAACTCCAAATCGGTAGATTTCTCTTGCTTTTCATTTCGAATCTTGTCTACTTGTTCATTCATGTTGTTGCTCTTCTTCACCGATTGCTTGTTGTCCTCTACCATCATACGACTTTTGGATGTCCATTAACGTCTTAGAGAGAGAAGGGCATCTATTTTTTGTGGGTAAGGGTTTCGAATTGGGATTTTAGGTTGATCTAACTATAGCGTCTGAGTTGAAATCGTCTCTTTTAGTTTGTGTTCTTTTTTTCTTTTTCTAATGAGTATGCAGGTTTTGGAGAAAAAATGAGGATATAGAGAGGCTTTGTTAAGAGAGAAGTGGGGTAACGTGACGTTAGGCACCGATTCATATTCCAAGAGGAAGTCTTGGGTTCCGTTTTTTCTTGTTTCTTCATATTTGTTTTTATTATTCAAGCTTTGATTTAATTGCTGGTAAAGTTCACGGTCCCCAAGTTCAAGTGGATGGCATTTAGATTCACATTAATTTTCATTTTTGTTTTTCTGTGACTATTGGTAAGAGATTTGGGCTTTCCTAAAGATCACCATGTCACCGCGTGGAGAAGTTTTTGGGGCCCTGTGGAGAAATCTTGTTTAATCTAGATCTCAATATATTGTTTTTTTTTACCTTATTTTTATTCATTTCAATGAAGCCTTTGCAAGATAATTAACAAATATTTTTTTCCTAATTAGATAATTAAGATAGGAAATTTTTGCTCTAGCGTTTTTAGTTCCGACTAAGTATCCTAATCTTAATTTTATATATTTTCAAAATTAAAACTACTTTCTTCATCAAGCTATTTCAAAATAGGATTAATTTCTCTAATATATTTCTTAAAATTATTTTCTAATCAAATCGTGAGAAACTAAGTTCTTGAAGTCTAGCACTTCTTGAATTTTTGGATAGTCATTATTAAGGTGTACACCTTAAGTAGTGTATTATTCGACCTCTCATTTTCAAAAATTATATTTTTCTAACAAAGAAATGTCATGAGAATTTAGCATTCTTTGTGATATTTCCTTTGTTCATTCAAGCATTCTCCAAATGAAAAAAGGTGTCGTCGAGATCTAGCATTTCGATAATACCCCAATTAATTGGTTGTGAGGCCCGCGTCTCATTTATCAAATAATTGTCATTTCTCTCTTTTTCAAATCCAATCTCGTATCTTCACTTCTCGTACCACAAACTCTTCTCATACCCTCCTTTCAACTTAAACCATTTCTAAACCATTTTCTTTCCGATTCAAACTTCGAAAGAAGGAAGTTCTTGGAGTCTAGCATTCCTTGAATTTTCGAGTGAATAGCTCTCGAGGCACGCCCTTTGGGTTGTTATTCACTCAACCTTTCGACTTTTTTCAAACTCAATCATTCTCAATATTCTCCTGAGTCGATTGCTCGTCCGCATTCGCAACCCATTTCATTCATAATTCCTCGTGGTCTCGATATTAGGAGCACCTTCAGGGACTAATATCGTTTCTCACAACCCTAACACTTGACACGTCGTCAAGTCGGTTCCATCTTCAATCAAATCTTCGACACGTCGTCGAACCAGTTCAAAACAATTTCCTTTTGGCCTCGCATGCCATTCTTCGATTCAATCCTTTCGCAAACTTACGAAAGAGGGATGTTCTTAGAATCTAGCATTCTTTGAATATTCGAACGAGTAACTCTTGGGCGCGCCCCCGAGTTGTTATTAGTTCATTCTTTCGTTTTCAAAATATCCAACTCTTATCTTCAACTCATTCAACCCAATTTCCGAAAGAACTGAGTTCCTGGGATCTCGCATTCCTTGAATTCTTGAGTGACAAGCTCTTGAGGCACGCCCTTAGGTTGTTTGTCAGTCACTCTTTCGTCTTTTTTCTCAACTTCCAACCCATTCAACCTCATATTTTCGTGGTTGTTACCACGAACTACGGACGCTCTGATTCTTTATTCATTCTTGAATATAAGATACGTAGGCACGAGATTGCGATGATCTTGGCGAGCACACTTCTATCCATCTTCCGTTTTCCCCCATCCTTTCCCGTAGTCGAACTACGACGCTCTGATTTCTCATTCTCGTCCGAATGAGCATACGTAGGCACAAGGGCCTCAATCCTTGGCGAGCACCCTATCTTCTAACCACCCATCTCTCCCTTGCGTCTTTAAACCTTTTAAAACCTACCAATTCTACCTTTACCAACAAGAAGAAAGCAAGTAAACCTAAACAACACTCCCCACAATTACCTTAAGAGGTTCCCGTCGAGTACGACGGACGTGAGGGGTGCTAATACCTTCCCCTCACGTAACCGACTCCCGAACCCGGAACTTGGTTGCGACAGCCCTGTTCCTATCCTTTCGTTTTCAAGAGGTTTTCTCGATATTTTCCTCTCCCGTTTATTTCGGGAAAAATAAAGTTCGGTGGCGACTCTGTTTCGAACCGCATTTTCCGCGCCTTTCGCGCGAGGGTCGTATTTTTCGAGGTGCGACAGAACCCTAAGAACATAAATTGAATCATCGTTCCAAATCAACTCGGTTTCTAAAGTCGCCATTGGAAATCACCGTTGCAAATCAACTCGTGTTGGTCGCTCATCTCTAAACTGAAAAACCCAACTCATCTCTGAACTAAAAAAAACTCAACTTGTTTAATGATTTGTAAATGGCGTTTAAGTTCTCGTTTATACTATGTCGTTCTAAAATGTGATTTTGTTTAGGGTTGTGATTCTGCTTTAATGTAGTGGTCATTGATCTGATCATCTTGAACATTTGTTTAGGTTATGTGACTTATTTATGTTGTGGTCCCTGAGCTGTTAATATGTTGTGGTCCATCTAGTGTTAATGTGTTGTGACTAATATTTTGTCAGTGTTGTAATTTGTTTATGTTTTATTGTAGGCCCTTTGATACCCTAGTTGTCATACTTAGAGTACACCGTTGGAGAAATTTAGTACATGATCCAGTAAAATTGTATGTTGATGGGCTTGTTTATGAAATGAATTGGAATTGTGATGTGGAGTTAATGTCATATATGCAAATTGAAGAATTGATCAATGCCGAAGGGTGTTGTAATACAAAGTGTTTATGGTATTGGAATCTAAACTTTTGATTTTCTCGTGGACATCGACCTTTGAATAATGACAACGATGTGTTAAGGTTCATAGAAGATGTTAGAAGATTTAAAGTCATTAACGTTTATATTTTGAACACAAAGTTGAAAAAATTAATATTAAAGATGTTTTGAGGAGGATAATTGTGAATAAGTTAATGTTGAGGGAGCAGATGAAGAAGCTAATGTTGATGGAGTAGATGAAGAGAGTGAAATAGATTCAGATTATAACTTGAGTAGTGAGAATGACGAGGATGATGACATTGATGAGTTAAACTTATGTGTTGATGTTGGTGTTAATTGGACGAAAGTTCTCCCTAATGCTACAACTGAACAACCTTCAAAGTTGGATGATATTTTTTATAATGATAATTGAATTTCAGACGTGCTTCATACTCCACCCGATAGTGATGTTGAAGTTGCAATGGAAAGGTTTCTAACATATAAGGAAACTACAAAACTTGAAGTAGGGATGATGTTCAAGGATAAATTACAAATCAAAGATGCCATAAAGGAGTATGCAATGGAGAACAAGAAGAATATTGTGTTTAAAAAAATTGAAAAGAATATAATGGTTGTTAAATGTATAGAAGGCTGTCCATTTTATATTAGGTTTAACATGCAGACTAGCAACCAATTTTGGCAACTCGTTAGCTTAACTGATCAAGATAGTTGTCATATGAGAGCCAAGAATAGACACACGAAAACGGATTGGTTAGCTCGAAAATCTGTGTATACTATAAGACACATTCCTGAAATGAAAATCAAAGGGTTGATTACAGAAGCTATTAAGAAATGGAGGGTGAAGTTGTCAAAGGATCAAGCTTATAGAGCCAAGAAAAAAAGAAATAGAATTTATCCAATGTGCTAGTCGTGAGAAATTCAAACATCTTAGGAGTTATGCTGAGGAGTTGTTAAAGTCAAATCCAAACTCTATAGTTAAAATTAAGTGTGATGATTCAGATGGTGGTTCTGTTTTTGAAAGAATACATGTATGCTTATAAGCTTGTAAAGAAGCGTTTGCTATAAACTTGAAGGTCTCTATTGAGTATAGAGATAAGCCAGTCATTTCACTGTTTGAATCAAACATTACATAATAGTTAGAATTTCTAGTCAAAAGGAGAAATTAAGTTGGTACAAAGGTGTTAGAAGTCCTAACATCCAACAAGTCTTGGAAAAAAACAAAGAGAGCAACAGAAAGATGGATTGCAACATGAAATTCTGATTATGACTTTGATATATTTGGGGTTTCAAATGGTGTTGAGTCATATGTTGTTAACTTACTGCAAAAGAAATATGGTTGTAGGAGGTGGGAATTAAGTTGAATACCATGTTGTCATGCTATTGCATGCATATGGTTTAACAAGAAGGAGCCTGAATATTATGTTTCATCATACTATAGGTAACACCTTCTCATATTAATGTAAGTTACATTACTTATACATAATATGTTAACTTACACCCATATCATTATGCCAACCAATAGCCCTCAACTATGGCTTACTAATGTTACTCACCCAATTATGTCAAAACAAGTACCAAACTATATTCATCACATTTTCAATTCATGTTAAAACAAGTACAAAATCATGTGAATTCATGATAATACAATACATACAACGACTTTTCCAAATACATAGAGAAATTACTTCATTTAAAAATACTCAAAGAAATTACATCATTTTAGTACATGTGTTCCAACTAATGCAAACACAACAATACAAACATCATCCACAAACCCATAAAATCACACATAAAATTAATCTTCATTTTTAAAAAATCTTCATTTTTCTTGATGTCCTTAATCACATCCATAACTCACCATTCTTATCTTTCAAAGATCTAATTACATCTTTTGCACGACTGCCCATGTCTTCATCAAACCATTGAAAATAGTCACATCATTTTTTTCTTATCACCTTAAAATTACTACAACCATGAAACCTTCTTCCAGTCCATAATGTCATCAATGATGACTTAAGCTCAAACCAACGTTTATTCTCTCTCCTTCTTATACTGGACTGGTTTGTTGAGGCAAATGAGAAACTAGTTTCAGACATGGTTGGGTTCAAACAGGAACTTGGTAAATTAGATCAACCAAAGAAAATAATGAACAAAAATAAAGAGGAACTGGGTTTGTGAAGAAGACAACGAACGAAAATGAAAGAAATGGTTGGGTTGAAAAAGAAGGCGGAAGGGCTGAAGATTTGGAAAAAGAGGCAGTGAAGAGAAAAAGGAGACGTTAGGGTTTGATAACATTGTATTTTTTTATAGAACTAGTAAGATACCTGTGTGTCCGCACGATAAATTTTTTTGATATGGTATAAAATATACATATAAATTAATTTTTTTAATTATTTAATTGTAAAACGAATAATGATAATATAAATTCAATTGTATTAAAAGATCATACAAAAAGAAGGAAAAAAACTCGTGAGATGGAGACAAAATTTAACATTTAAACATGAAAATTTTCACTCTGAAATAAACAAGTTGTTAGTTGTTGTAGAGTTGTATCCCTTGTGATTGAAAATATAGCTTTTATAATAATTACATTGAAATAGATTAGGCAACATATTGTAATTCGAAAAGAGTATAGTAAAAAAGAAAAAAGTTGTCACTGAAAAACATCATTTTTAAAATGAAGTAGTTGAACTACTCATATTTACATTGAAGGTTGGTTTGTTTATATAGATTTGTAGAAAGTTGTGTCATCTCTAAAAACATTCATATTTATGTTAAAGCATGTCTCTAAAATATTGAACATGATTCAAAATTAATGGCCAACAACATGGATCTCTTTCACAAAATCAGTCATGTTAGAGATTTGTAATTCATAAAAAACGAACTCAACCTTAACATTTTCACTATCTGTAACATTGTATGTACGGAAATTGATACTCCAAATAATAAATGATGGGTATATACACATTATGGACTCATGACATATTCATAGATTTAATTCTCTGAAGATCCACAATTAAAACAAAACAATAGCAAAACCAGATCATAAAATTGGTCACCCAAATTATCGATTCTTGGATTAATATCGAGTTTTTAAATAAAAAAACAATAGCATGACCAGAAACAACTTACCAAACATTGTTTAAGAGACCCTACAATTGCATTTTGATTTTGATCAAGAGACAAAATTATCCTTGCTAGATTTGAAAGTGCATATTCAATCTAATAAAAGACAAATGAGAATTAATGAGTTAATAATATTTCTGACCACACCAAGAACCAAATAAATTATAACAAATCTATATGAAAAAACTTACAGGATGGGCATCATGGATTGCCATGAGTGTTGAGTGTTCTCTAACTGGACGCTTGATCCTAACATCACTCTCAAAAGTTTGCTTCAAATTACATGCATCACTCTTAGTAGAGAATGTTTCAAGTGTTGATTTTGAAAGACTCTACCCGTTTGATATCCAATAGGGGTGTTGCCACCATCAATTGTTGGGATGGTCCGACCCTATGGACATCAAAGAGATATACTTCCATTATTCTTTTATTTTGAAACAGAATCATGTTAAACATAAAGGTATAATAAGCTTCCACATACAAACATAGAGTTAACAAATATAAATCACGTATAAATTTGGCGGCAGTGAATTTCTTGTCACTGCGATAATCCTTGTACAACATATCTACACAAAACAAATAAGAACCATGGAAAACTTCATCAAAATAACCATAGATGTGAACAAAATCAAAAAATTCCAACAACACAAGAATCAAGTGTGTGAGAGAGATGGAGAAAAACTACCTCTGAGTAAGAATACTTTTATTTGTATTTCCATCCGATTGAAAATAAAGCAAACACACATCTTTTGCCTTGCAACCATGCTTGCAAACAGGGCAAGTGCGTTTCTTTGATGTCCCATAGTACTCGGCCCATTGCTGTAAAATACACAAAATCATACAAACCCACATAGAGAAAAGGGTAAAGAAAAGAAATTTTTTAAGGTTTTGTGTTCGATTAACGGGGGAATTTAGGAAGATTTTGTTAAGAGTCCTACATCAGACAATATATGACATGAACATGTGTTTATAAGTGGGGGTAATACTCACTCTACCAACCGGTTTTTTAGGGTTGAGTTAGACCCAACCACATTTTTTAACATGGTATCAGAGACTCGTTTAAGATCCGGTGGGCCACCTTCTATGGTTTCCTCTATCGGGCCACCCACCATTTATTTCCACGCTTCGGTTGTCTAGTCCTGAGCGTGAGGGTGTGTGTTAAGAGTCCTACAACGGACAATATATGGCATGAACATATGTTTATAAGTGGGGGTAATCCTCACTCTACCAACCGGTTTTGTAGGGTTGAGTTAGACCCAACCACATTTCTTAACAGGTTTTGTGTTCAATTCAAACCAGCTCAAAAGTTACAATCAACAAACAAATAATAATATAGAAGAAACAACAACAAACCTTAAATATGCCATGTTTATGTGTATTTGTTTGAAAAACCTTAAAATGCAAATTGAGATACAAATCATAGAAGAAATTATAGGAGTTAAAACCTGAGAATGATTGAAGCTTGAAATGCAGAGTTGTGTTTGAAGGAATGAGGAGAAGATCTCAACAGAGATCTCGTGTGTGTTAATGGTGAGGGATGTTTGAGAGAACGAGATAGAAGAAAGAATGAGAGAGTGAGATGATATGGTGCACTATTGAGAGAAAGAGATAGGGAGATTTTTGCGGTGAAAGTATAGAATTGGTGACGAGGGAGAATCAGTGACAAGAGAGAAAGAGGGGCGGCATAGGCGTAGGGTTTTGAGGGGAAAGAGGGATGAGAGAAAACGAATGAGGGAAAGAGAGTGAGAAAAGTGTGGGACAATGGGAAGATAAAATTTGAAATGCAAATTTGACAATAGGTGTATGATAAGTTGTCATTCAAAGAGAGTTTTGAGAGTGTTTTAATTGTGTCATTTGTTAATTATTAATTTATTCATAATATAGTGTAATAATATTTTGGTGGAAGGATAAGTGAGGCAATGCAATATATTTTTGATGGGTAGATAGTAGATAATATTAAATTATTAATTTTGAGAATTTATCATAATACATTAACGTATATATAAAATTAAAAAAAAAATGATGCATTTTAAAATGACCTGGCATTGACACATCATCTTGGATAGCGCCACATCATTAACAAAATGTCTCAAATTGAAGAAGGAACTAAAATCAAACTCAAAACTTAAAAAATGGACCAAATCAAAATCTTTAAAAAAATGCAAAATAGAGAGACAATAGTTGCAATTAAGCCAAATAATTAATTTAATTGATTATATATATATATATATATATATATATATATATATATATATATATATATATATATATATATATATATATATATATATATATATATATATATATATATATTTATTATGTATTGATATACTTATCTTTATTATAAATAAAAAAAATAAAAATTAAGTTTGATAAAATTAATATTAATTAGAAGTTAAAATTATAAATAAATAAATAAACAAAAGATTCATAATATATTAAAAAAATAATTACAATTATTTTAAGATATATTTTTGTTTTTACAAATGAGTGAGATATTTTAGAAGAGAAATTATCTTTTCAAACGCTTTTTATTTAATTTCTTCACATTTGGAGACTTTTTTAATATTGGTTTTCCGTCCTTTTATTTATTTATTAAAAAAACTTCTTAAATGTTGATATCTATGTGGCAGGGCGATCTTAAGGGTAGGCCACCAAGGTTATCCCTAGGACTTCATTTTTTTATATCCATATGTTCTAATTACTTAACTTACAAAAAAATAATTTTTAAAATTTTTTAAATGCTAATTAAATAATAATATTTTTTTAAAAAAATTATAATAATAACCAATATTTAGAATGTGTATTGTATAATTGATTAATTATCTTAAATTTTCAGAGGTTTTGTGTAGGTTTATCAAAGTTTTACTGCGAAAAATAAATAGGGGTTCTATTTTATTATTGTACAATCATAATCAATACTCCTTCCATTCTCTTTTATAAGCAAATTTTGACTACTTAGATTCATTCAATAAATGATGTATTTGGACTATATATAGGATAGATGCATTAATTATTTAATGAATTTAAAAGTAAAAATTTGCTTATAAATAGGAATGGAGGGAGTATTTTTTAGGCTCTTTTAGCCACAACTTAACCGTGAAAATTATTGAACTCTATGTGATAGACAATTTTGTGCACCTTTAAAAATTATGTTAAAAGTCATACTTATATATAATAAACTTTTAATTTCTCTTAGATGTAATGATTTTACTATCAATTGAAAAGAAAATATTGAATAAAATTGATTAGAATAATTTAATAATTTTATTTCATAAAAACCTAAAATTAAAAAATATTAATTTAATATAAAAATATTTTTATTATATTAAAATATTTAATTTAAAATTTCGCCTCGGACCTCAAAATATATTGGGCCGACCCTGCCACTTTGATTTAGTCTATGGCGTATACTTTTCATTACATAAACGCTTACATGACAAATGTTTTATTGACATGGCCTAAGAGAAATAAGAAAGTTAACTTTTCAAATTCATGTTCTTCTTCCTCAATCCATCTCCAATCTCTATCTCCATCCTCCATTTTTTTCATCTCCAAACCTCCATTTTTTTTTTATCTCTAACATCCGCTTTTTCTTCATCTCCATCCTCCAACCTCCATCTTCAACCTCCATTTTTTCATCTCTAATCTCCATTTTTTCATCTTCAATCTTCATCTTCATCCTCAATTTTTTCTCTCCCACCTCCATTTCTTCATCTTCATCCTCCATTTTATTCTCCAACATTCATTTTTTCTTCACCTCTAACCTCTATCTCCTGCCTCCATTTTTCATCTCCAACCTCCATCTTCACCCTTCATTTTTTTCTCATCTAACCTCCTTTTTTGTTAGGGTTGGTTGAAAATATACATGTTAAAGAAGTCTCACATCGCTTAGTTTTGCGAATGAAGAAAGTTCAATGTTATATATATGATACAAGTTATTTGAAATTCCACATCGCATAGTTTTATGAAGGAAGTGAGAGTATATATATATATATATATATATATATATATATATATATATATATATATATATATATATATATATATATATATATATATATATATATATATATATATATATATATATATATATATATATATATATATATATATATATATATATATATATATATATATATATATATATATATATATATATATATATATATATATATATATATATATATATATATATATATATATATATATATATATATATATATATATATATATATATATATATGATTCAAGTTCTTCATTGCAAGATGCACTAGTCAAAAACATTTTAAGCTTGTATTTGACTTTCTTTGTTCTCTTATACTCTTATTTTAGAGTGTTGTGAGATGTAGTTAAATATTAGTTTTGGAGGGTGTGAGTGTATTTGGGGTCTGGGTTAGTTGAGGGTATATTATATGTTGTAACAATTTTCACATAGTGTTACTCTTTGGTTGTCTTTTGACAACAACTGTGATTTTTTCTTCGGTTTTGAAGTTTCCACGTTATATTCTTGTGTTGTGATTGTGCTCTTCATTTTTCATCTATGTTTGTTTATTCTTAACAATTGGTATCAGAGCCTTGGTTTGGTGGGATATAAATTTTTTAGTATGCTCTGTGGTTGCAATTTTGTCTGATCTTCCACATCAGAAAAGAAATTTTATACTCTATGTTGGTTGGAAAACTCTTGTTTTGTTGCAGGGAATGGAATAATTTATTTTTCCTTATGGAAAATTCAAGTCAAAGATGTTCTGATACAATTAGGATTACACAAGGCGTTGAAAGGAAACATTTCCAACATGGACAACGAGAGTGGGAGGAAGTAGATTTGAGAGCTTCAAATACAATCCATGTGTCTTTGGATAAGAATATTCTTGTGAATGTTCTTGGTACATCGTCAGTCAAAGAGTTTTCGGAGAGACTTGAAGGGCTATATCAAGGAAATGGTATATCAAATCATTTATTGTTGAAGGAGCAGTTTCATAGCTTGTGTATGGATGAATATACGAAAATATCTGATCATCTAAGTGTTCTAAATGGTATTCTTTCTGAATTAGAAAGTCCATTATTTATACAAGCATTGGAAGCTCCTCAAAAGTTGGTTGCTGGCAAACCTCCCAGCAAATATGAGAAGAATTTGAAGATCAAGGATGATTCTGATAACTCAAACCAGATGTCCATTTCAAGCTCTGAGCAGAACATCCATAATTCTGATGTCCCCAACAGTAAGTCTGTGGATGAGCAGGCTAAGAAAATTGCAGTTCATGAAGATATTTCTTCTATCTTAAAGATTGGTTCAGTCACTATTACCGCAAAGCAGGTTGAGGCAAAACAATCTGGCATTGGTAACAGAGAACAAATTGACGTTCTTACTGTAGGCTCAATGCCCATTAAAGTTAATGGGTTTGGCGGCTCTTCTGGTTTCTTGAAAGTTGGAAGTATACAACTTAACCCAAAAGCTTTACAACCGTAAGAAGGACAAGTTGCTGCTAAAAGTAGTTTGCCTTTTAGTTTGTCATCTGGTTTGGTCAAGTTGGACTAATGTCTCTTGATTGTATCATGCAGTTGAGAAGTTGTTTCTCTTTGATCTATTTATGTTTCTATTGCTTTGATACAAAGGCCCTTCCTTCCAATTGTCATGAGTTTTCATGTTGCAGTGTTGACTCCTAAAACTTCCAAATGTCAGTCTCTCTTTTTGCATACATCATTGGGTCAGTTTTCTCTGAATTTCATCCTGAAGAAAACCTCTCTCCACTTTCATTCCATGTTATTATATTCATAAGATCTATCTTTGTTGTGTTGTTAAGAATGTATGCGTTCCATTTTGATTATGATTTGGTTTTGAAGGTGTTGAAATGTAGTATACAACTGAATGAGAGATTATTCTTTTAACAATAGTAAATTCTTTTGGTTTATTTGTTGTTGTCCACTATTGTGGGCTTGAAACATGATGATACCATTTCAATTGGGATTTGATGTCATGCTTTACTAGGATATACATAAAATTATGTGAATTAACAAATCACTCAAACAATGTTAATCCAAACCTCTATCTTGATGCCAAATATCAATCAATAATTTGTTTAATCCGACATTAAAAACAAAAGGTAAACTAATCTGACATTAACAATGGAGATTATACTTTTTCTCATACCCGTGCGGACGCACGAATCTTCTACTAGTGATTATTAACATGGTATCATAAAATCTTTTTTGAATTCACACGTGTGCATTCAATGCTCATCCCCATGGGTTTTAATTCATCATCATTACAAAGTACAATTGATCATGAACAATTAATTGTCACTACTAAATATAATTTTAAAACAATAAATTTTTGCCAAGCTTGGCGAATCGAATCATCACCAATGGAAACATCACATAGAAAATGTGCTTCAAGATACCAAAATGGTTTCTTTCCTATGCTAATCATGACTACAAGTGTTGAGGCATTAGAAAGGTTTGGAGAAAGCTTATTTTTTGAAATTTCATGATTAATATTTGCTTCCTCAAGAGAAGTACAAAATGTTCGTAGAAAACAATTTAGTCATTACATATTTTTCTAAACCCTGCCAATAATGCTTAATCACATGAATAAGAAAATACAAAACATTCCATTATCTTACATGGAATCAATCCTAACCGATTTTTTTCTCTAAAATAAATCTTTCTTTCTTTGTCGTTGTTGTCTTTCTCTGTGACAGCGATCTATTTTCACCTTGATCTAAGCATCAATTTTTGCGATGACGATGATCTATTTTCACCTTGATCTAAACATCAACTTTTGAGTTGACGAAAATCTCTTTTCACCTTGATCTAAGCATCAACTCTTGAGTTGATGACGATATGTTTTTACCTTAATCTAAGCATCATTTCTTAAGTTGACGACGATCTATTTTCACCTTGATCTAAGCATCAACTCTTGAGTTGACGACGATCTGTTTTTATCTTGATCTAAGCGTCAACTCTTGAGTTGACGACGATGTATTTTCACCTTTATCTAAGCATAAACTCTTGAGTTGACGACGATTTGTTTTCACCTTTATCTAAGCATAAACTCTCAAGTTGACGACGATTTGTTTTCACCTTGATATAATCATCAACTCTTTAGTTGGCGGTGATTTGTATTCACCTTGATCTAAGCATCAATTCTTGAGTTGACGACGATCTGTTTTCACCTTGATTTAAGCATCAACTCTTGAGTTTACGACGATCTATTTTCACCTCGATCTAAACATCAGCTCTTGAGTTGACGACGATCTATTTTCACCTTGATCTAAGCATCAACTCATTGACGACGATCTATTTTCACCTTAATCTAAGCATCACCTCTTGAGTTAAGAACGATCTATTTTCACCTTGATCTAATCATCAACTCTTGAGTTGACAACGATGTACTTTTACCTTGATCTAAGCATCAACTTTTGAGTTGACAACGATATATTTTCACTTTGATCTAAACATCAACTCTTGAGTTGACGACGATATGTTTTTGCCATTACCTAAGCGTCAATTCTCGAGTTGACGACGATCTTTTTTCGTCATGATCTAAGCATCAAGTCTCTAGTTGACGACGATCTTGCGTCCTATCCTAGTTTAAATGTTTTCCTAACCCCTCCACGTTTCATTTTTATATTTCAAAGGACGAAATTTGAATCCTTTCGTTATAATTGTATGAAGATCATTGTCATTCACACTCTCGAGCTCAAGATAATTAAATAGAGTCCGTAGTCACACCCTAATTTTATCAATTCATTTTTTAATTTATCTAGTCATTTTACACTTGGTCATTTTTTATATTTTTTGCATTTTTATTTTTTTTCATATTTTTTATCTCATTTCCCACCAATTTCACAATGTATGAATAGGGGTGTTCATGGGTGCGGGTCGACCCGCAAACCCGCCTATCCAAACCGAACCAACCCACTAATTACCCGGACCCATTCATTTACGGGTATACCCGACCCAACCCGTATAGATTTGGTTCGGGTATTGGGTTTTAGTTTCTAAACCCATGAACCCGTTGACCCAACCCGTTGACGTGACATAATTAATTATTATTATTATTATTATATTATTATTTATAAATTTTAAAGTTGCTATAACTTTGTAAATTGTAACGTACACAAAGATCTTTTGCACTTTCCTTCCAGTTTCCAATCACACATTAAATTATTATTATTATTATAATTAAACATTATTATTAATATTAATCATGCTTGCTTGACTTATGCACTTTTAGTTTACACTTTACTGCCTTTTTATTTTTTTAATGAATCTTTATTAACTAATAATAATTAAGTATATATTAGAAACTTACTAAACTAAAGACAATACCACTTAACCTAACCCTATTTTTTTACTACGGCAAATCTCAAACGTCACCACTCCTCTTTCTCTCACGATTATTTTTTTCATTTTACTCTCTCACATTCCAATTCCATCTTGCTTTCGAAAATCCACAGTCTATACTTTGACTCTCTCATAGTTTCGTCTCCATATTGAATAAGATTTTATACTTTTTATAGTTCTACAATATATTTATTTCAATGCAATATATTGTTTTTACAGTATGTACTTCAATAGTTTTATATCAATGCAAAATATGATGATAGGTTCAATGTAATGTACTATTTTGTTTCATATGATGCAAAGTACTATTTTGTTTCATACGATGAAAATATATTTTGATGCAAAGTCCTGTTCTGTTTCATATTATTAATTTAAATATATTTTGTTTAATATTGTTTTAATAATAATTTATATTAATAATAATATATATTAAAACAACATTTCAAAATTTTAATTGTTATATTTTTAATTATTCTATTTTATTTGTAGGATTTGTCTCCACTACGTAAATAATTTAATTGTTTGAAATATGCAAAATTATATTGAATTGTGTTATAGATTTTTTAAATTGAAAATAATAATTATTATATACACAACCCGTGGACCCAACCCTACCCAACCGTAAATATCTGGGTTGATTCGGGTTGGTTTTTAAAGTAGAATTACGGGTTTGATGATAAACCCAACCCATTGAAAGTTGAACGGATTGGGTAACGGGTTAAGGCGAACCCGGTCCAAACCAACCCGCGTACACCCCTATATGTATGAACACAAATTCACACTACAATACCAATTACCGATATTTTTATTCAAAATACAAATTCAAATCTAATTACACCAAATAAAATTCAAATTCATTGTCACACTTTATAGATTTTCTCACAATTCTCACAGTTACACAAAACTCTGCATCAAATTCATAGCTTCGCCGGAGCCTCGTCGGAAAACTCATAGAGCCACCGGTTTCTGTTGTTTTTATATTTTCTTGATTGGAAACCCCAATCCAATTTCACAAAATTTTGGCCAATTGAATGAACCTGAAGAATTAGGGTTATGTGATCATGAAGGTCCAAGAACATTCATGAACATGATTTCAGATTTCAAACAAAAAACCATTCAAAATGCATCGCAACATGACCTTGAATGCAGTTCAGTATTCATTTTCACCGAATCGAGTCTCTTTTGATTTCGCTTTAGATGTGCATATTCGTGCGATTTTGTTGTTGATAAATGATGTTTGATTGTTATTTCATGCTATAAGTGCTTAATTGAGTTGTTTATCCAAACAAGTATATCTTATATTTTCTTGGTCATTTAGTCTTTTTTCGATTCGCAGATAAATCAAACTACACTTCCTCAGCAAACCCTTCATGGTTTTGAAGCTTCGGTTCAATCTCAAAGAGTTGATGCAACTGAGAACAAAAGTAGCCTCCATTTTAAGGCAGAATTCTCCGACTCGCCACCTCAAAAAGACAATTCTGCACCAATGGAAGATCAAGCAGAAGAAGAGGGAGAACAAAGAGTCAACGGAGACACAATTGTTGATGGTGTTGGTGGTACTCCGCCAAAAGATGGATGTAATTGGAAAGAATATGGTAGACAGCGAGTTAAGGGTAGCGAGTTCCCGCGAATGTACTACAAATGCACTTATTCAAATTGTCCGGTTAAAAAGAAAGTAGAATTTTCTCACGAGGGCCACATAACAGAGATCACCTATATGAGAGCACACAACCACCCGAAACTTCCTCCAAGTCGCCGGTCAGGCATAGGGTCAGCTAACCCTCCTGCTGACATGCAAGTGGACAATCCTACACATGTTGAAGCACAGGGAAGTATAGCTAATTGGAAGTCGGACAACCTTGTAGTGACATCGGCTGCATCTGATATTGTCGAGTACGACAACCAGTTCACCAAGCTGCAAACTCAAAATGGTATTGCCGTGGAAGGCTCGTCCATTTTTTCTAACGAAGAAGAGGAAGACGATCAAGGCACTCATGGTAGTGTTTCATTAGGTTATGATGCAGAAGGAGATGAATCCGAGTCTAAAAGAAGGTACTTCATACTTGTCATTTTTGCTGCTTCTTTTTTTATTGGTGACAAATATTAACATATTAAAAATCAATAACTTGTTTTCTAAGAAAACTGGAATCATATGCTGAGACGAGTCGAGCTACTAGAGTCATTCGCGAGCCTAGAGTTGTTGTGCAGACTACCAGCGAAGTAGATATCCTTGATGATGGTTATCGGTGGCGAAAATATGGGAATAAAGTTGTCAAAGGAAATCCCTACGCAAGGTAATCAATTCTCATCTTATTGGTTCCAGACATTATCTTTCTCTTTTCACTCATGTGCGCAATCCAATCTATGCATGCATTTAAGCTGTAAAAACATTTACTAGTTAGAAAACCGTGTTTTGCTACACTATATGCCATTACCTAGTTAAGGAGAAAATACTGACATAATAACAAATATACTAACATTTGTCTACGAAGCATGGGCACACGATACCGACACTGACACGTTGACACCGGTAATTAGGAGAAAAAAATGAATAAATTAAAGTTAAATCACAAGTATCTGTGTCAGTCTCGGACACAGACACTGACACATACAGACCTTTTTTCTCGGGTGTCGCTGCTACTTGTCGATAAAAAAACACGAAACTCTCCAAATCTTCAACGCAACACCAATTGCTACTAGTAGTTTATGTTATGGCTGAATGTTTCTGTTTTGGGGTGCAGAGGTTACTACAGGTGCACCAATGCAGGGTGCACTGTAAGGAAGCATGTGGAGAGAGCATCACATGACCTTAAATCTGTGATCACCACATACGAGGGAAAGCACAATCACGATGTCCCCGCTGCTTGTTCCAGCAGTCACGTCAATGCGAACAATGCTTCTAACGCAGGTCAAGGGCAAGCTCCTGGTCTTCTTCAAAACCATGCTCATAGAACTGAACCATCTCAAATTCACTATGGAACGGGATGGCCTCCACTCGGCTCATTCAACTTTCATGGCAGACAGCAGCTAGCTCATCCGCACGGCTTCTCCTTCGGCATGAATCAACACCTCTCCAACCTTGCAATGTCTGGTTTAGGCCCCTCTTCACAGATGCCTATGAATCCATTCATGGCGCAACAACAACACCAGCAACAACAGCGTGCCGCAAATGAAATGGCCTTCATGTTACCAAATGGAGAACCAAATATTGGCGCTAATCCTGAACGCTTCCTTAACATGCAAAACGGTTCATCTTCAATGTATCGAGATATTATGAATCACATGCCTCTCGGACCTCGCGTGTAAACTTTTATTTCTCATATATATTCTTAAAAGCAAACTAATGTTTTTACATTATATGATATACACATATGTAATGATCAGACATACATAGATGGACTTCACATTAGTCTCATAGCTGATTTTATTTCATTTGAGGCATCACATTATGATATACCAGTTCATTTGAGTTTGCTATGACAGATATTTCCAGTGCTTGTGATATGCAGATTGTTCTTTGTTGAAAATTGCTCTTTATAACGATTAACAATAAAAACCGACATCACTCAACAAATGTGTGACTTGTGTCTGACACATACGCATAGTTTGATTTATTTTTTTTTTCAAATTATTACTGATGTCGCAATTTTAGTGTCTGTTTCAAGTGTTAACATGATTGTCCATCCTAAAAAGATGGAACTGGTCATAGCATAAAAAGGATGAACCATGAAGGTGAGTGTTTCCATTATCCCATGCAATGTTGTGATGTGAAGTCCAAATCCTAGTAAGTCACAGAAAAATATGCTTAGTGATTGTTTAACCTCTTCAGGTGATGTTAAAGATAAAGTTTTCAGATTCCCAGAAAAAAGTTGAAGGTTTTACTTTCTATTTTTGCTGCAGAATAATCCTGATATCATGTCTTTGTGTATATTTGTAAGTCAAGAGATCTGTTTCAATTTTTTTTTTTAACAAATATACAATTAATTCAAGATAACTTTTTTTTACAAATGAGAGATATTTTAGAATGGAGAGGGTCCACTTTTCACACCTTTTAAAATACTTATTTGATTTCTTCCTATACATATATTAGGAAGGAAAATGCTTAGTAAGAAAATTTGAAAATTCATTATCACCACTACCTCATGATTTCTATTTAAAAAAAAAAAATTTTAAAATCAATTTAAAATTCATCTCTAAAATAATGACATATGTGCATTCTTGCATTTCTTCTTCAAATTATTTCTTACTAAATAGCATCACTTAGGAAGGAAATATTCATCTCATTCCATGTGTGTGTCCCACATCTCTACAAAAACTCATAAATACTTTTATTTGTATCCGAAAATACATCTTGAGGCGTACATAAAATCACACCAGTCTTCGTAATTCAGTCACACTATTTTTGTAAAAAATTGGTCAGGATATGCATCTCCATATATTTTTTGGGATAAGTCCGAAAATGCATCTCCGTATATTTTACGAGATGAGTCCGAAGATACATCTCCGTAAAATATATTTGATTCGAAAATATAAAAAATAATACAATCATAAACTATTGGGTATGTCTAATCTCCGGTTTCTCCTCAGTTGCCTGTATTGCAAGGCATTATGTGTCTTGCCAATAATGGTTTGTACGAGAGTCAATTGGGAACTACCTTTCTCAAAAAATCTAGTGTCTTGGTCCGGTCTTGCCATATCCACAATACGCTGACATATCGACAACACATCATAGATGTGGTCATCCCTAGCCTGCTCATCCTCTAGTATCTCTTGATGAGATAGCTTAAGTGGTCCTCCAGGAGCTTCTGGTATCATGATAGGATGAGACACCTTATAGAATCATGTAATGTAGTTCCCTGCATAAGTCCATTGTACACGAGTTGGCACCCTGCGATAGTCCTCTGGTATCAAACTGACTATCAAGATCCTCAAGTATGATATCAAGATCTTTGCGGCAGGCGGTGGGTGGAACCGACTCTGAGGGGTGTCTCGGAATAACCTGCAAATACCTAAACCGACGCTCACTCGGGAAGATACAGATACATCTAACTTGATCCACAAGCTAGCTATTTGGAGTATAACAAAATGATGTCCAACTGACGCGTCTGGCAGTGACCGTCGTATAGGCAGAAGGCAATGACAGAAACCCTATTGATGCCCTAAACTTCAACAAAATAAGAATGCATGTCTTGAAAATCGAACCTGAAGAAACTTGCTCACGAGCTCAAATGAGGTTTTAGTGAGTTTGCAGCAAATGAAGAAGGAAGGCGAAATGTTATAGCGCAAGTATATGAATTAAACGCGCTCAGAGATACATCTCTGTAACACTCACCAAGTTTTGAATTAAGGGTTGTTACTGTTGAGAATGTAATTCTTTGTGTTGAAGCAGGTGTAGCTCGACAAAAACAAGAATGTGTTCAAATTAGCCTAGTGTGTGTGTGTGTCGAGTTGTGTTAGATGTGGAAATGTCGAAGCAGGTTGCTTGATACAAGATTTCGACTTAAACCAAAAATAAAAACTTTAGCCTTTTGTAATTTTGGGTTTTACCTTATTTAGCAAACTAGCTCAATTATAAATAGGGAATAACCTTATTATGAAATATAACACACAAGGGTTCCAGCATCGTCCCGCCCTCGCGACTTGTTTGGCGTATGGGAGAAGTTGCCTTTCACATATTTTTTGAGATTTCCAATCTCTCGATCTCCTTTTTAAACTGGTAGCAATCTTTAGTATGGTGTGCCTTGACTCTGTGGAACTTGCACCATAACCCATGACCACCGCCTTATGGGGCATGTGGCTTAGGGATATTGTGTAGGTGGAGATAGAAACTTGCACTTCAAGCAGTCGTGCACTCCTATAATGGTCATCTATGTATCGATGAAGGAAACGTGCTCATAGGGACCGCTGCGCTCATCAAACTTGGGCAAGGTTGGAGGTTCAGATCCCTCGAGGACAGACGACCCCATATCTCGTCTGAGAGTGGCTGGAATCAAATGGTTACATCTCCTTTGGGGGATTGAAGTCTTATTGGCAGTGTCTGATGTTGTGGACGTCATCCCTTAGTGTCTGGTTATGGCGGTGTAACTCGTCCATGGCGGCACGCATCTCTGCCAGGGGGTCGGCATCACCGCTACTACTGATAACTTCTGGCATAGAGGACAGAGTTGTCATATTAACCATAGCTAAAAGTGGCTAGGTGTAGGAGTGAAGGGTATCAACAAGCAAAGTAAAGATGATGATGAAGGTTAGTTGTAGGTTAGTTTTACCAGAGCGTCACTATACTGGTCAAAAAGTACATGTGTGTGGTCCTCTTACAATGGCAGAAGGACTCATATGCTTTAGTAGGTTTATCACATTGTATGGTGGTGAGGGTTTGTCCACATCGACGAGAAGCTCTGTATGATGGTGTTTTTGTGTGGTTTTAGGAGTCTTGCTCATTTGAGGTGAAAGACTCTACAGATGAATGATGAGCTTTAGTATAAGCGTTCATTAAGTGTGATCAATACGGATCATGGTCTATCTTTTCCTCCTTAAGGAAGGTGTATTTATAGAGGTCTTTGAGTCTAAAGTTTGGGTAACCCTGAACGGCGACAACCGCTTCCCCTGATTAGGAGAAGTTATTGACCACCTAATCTTTAAGAAATAGCGGTAACCTTCCTCCCCTTTTAACTATCAGCTTCTCACACGTCATTAGTAACAAGGGCAAATCTCTAAGTCATCGCTTAGACAATACAACTCTTAAACGAGAGCGCTCTAATTTAGGATACTTACAAATATAACATTCTAAAATTTAAAAATAATGATATGACATATTTAAAGCAACATGACATTCGATATTATGATGTAGAATAATTATCAAAGAAATTACAAGAAAAACATCTAAAATTTTAGTTTAAATATTCAAAAAGTAGTTATTTTTTAACTAAATTAATGATATTTAAATAATTTATCAATTGAAATAATTTTATATCATCATATATTATTTTATGTCATTTAAAATATGTCACACTACTTTTTTTTGTTTTAAAATATAAAGAAAAGACTAAATTTATGTGATTTTAAAATGAGGCAATCAATATCATAAGCAAATGAAAATAGTGAAACAAAACTTATAACCAAAGATGATGAAACTTGTGTAGTCGGACTGATTTTGACATGTGTTTGTGTAGTATTGACTGTCTGATTTTGCTGCATTCATGAATATTTTCACTTTGAATGTATATAAAATTCAACATTTGGTAGGATGCATGATTGCAAACAGTGGAAGAGCAAGTGTAGTTGAATCTAAGAAGAATAATAACAATGGTAGAGCATGTGTATTTGAATCTAAGAAGAATGATTATAATATTCTCAATGTGTTCAGATCATAATCCAAACAAATAATTAACTTATTTCACATAATCAGATTCTATAAATTTCTAACATAACAAGTGTCTTTCCCAAACTCAAATTACAGTGAATTATTTAAGGTATTGAACAAAACCATAACAAAACAAGGAGAGTAAATGCACATTTCTCCCCTACCCTGAAAAAGAAGGGTAAGTTCTATATAACAAGGAAATTTTACATTAAAGATCAACAAGAAAAAAAAAAGAAAAAAAAAAGCTTTTGAGAATACACAAAATGATCCTAATATTGCAGGCTTAAGTGGGTACAACAAGCTCAGAATTGAGAGATAAATCTGACACAAGAAACCAAAAGAACAAGATTAACATAATGAACTGTAGGAAAAGATAAAATGACACCTTACATACTCTTTTCTGCAGCACAAACGATTCCTCAATTACTAAACTATCGCCGCAATATTTTTCCAACTCTTCTGCTCTGTTTTTGAGAACTGAAGCCCTACCCTCCGCATCTACGAGCTTGTTTAGAACCTGCGATTGATTTTTGGAGAGTTTCTCTTGTTCTTCCAATAATGTAAGTTGTGAATCTGTTACAGCTTTACAGTTCTGTTGTATCACCTTTGTAATGACCAGGTATTCAACTTCAGCTTCAATTTTCTGCATAAAAAGCTCCTCGACCTCGTACTCGACTTCTCTATATTTTTCCTCCGATAAACCTACGGTGTTGGCGGATACTTCTTTAGGAAAATTACCACTTCTAAAGGATGTTTCAAGTTCAACAATCCTTGAATCTTTCACAGCAAGCACACCTTGTAACTCCTTTAGCTTGCTTTCCAAAAGGTTAACCTGTTGTGTCAAACTCGATATCTGAAACTCCAAGGAACTTGAAGCAGCTTGTTTGATTTCTTCTGCACTAGAGTGACCAAGATCAACAGTAGTGATACCTGCAGATGTACTGAT